TAAAAACAATTTTCTGCAACAAATGTAGTAAGATCAACAATTTATGTATTTGAATGAGTGAATAGTTTTAAAATTTGAAACATTTGATTTTATAATTTCTTACAAGAATTGCATACATACAGTCAAGAAAACATTACAAGAAGAAAGAAAATGAATGGATGAAGATTTGTAAATTATGGAACTTGACAAATTAACTTACTTCTATACGAAAATCTTCCACTGTTTTGTAGTTGTCTAATTTTGCCATTAAAACGGGATCTACTTTGAGCTTTTTGGAGTGTTTATAGTACTTTAGGAATGCCCAGAATTTTTCTAAACCATATAAATGACCTAGAAATAAAACAACAAAATTACTTAAAACTAATCATTAATTCTTCTAAAATTAAATTACAAATATTTTGAAGAACTACAGAGTGAACCTATAAGTAAATAGACACCTTTATTTTCAAACACTGTCTTTTATTTCACATTAACCATATGATAAAAATGCCACATTTGCATATTAAAACTACAAAGCCTTAAGCTGGTCAGGAATGGAATTATGAGTTCTGCTATCTTGGCCTGTGAAATGTTGGGTAACAACAATCTAAAAGTTCTCCAATGGAAGCAGTTTTTGTGAATGTTATCACATTACAGACATGTTTGATGGAATTCATGTTGGGTAACTGGTTAGTCCATGGAAGCTAGCAGATGCCTTCTGTTGCCAGCCAATTCCAGGTCTTTTTGGCAGAGTGACATGTGCTCCATCATTGTGAACAAAATGGGTATTTCCAATATGGCAAAGTACTTTTCAGAGTTAATATTGCGTCATCCATTTGCTAACATTCAGGTTGTCTGTTTACTTATAGGTTGTCTAATTTGTAGCAAAATCAGCTCTTCAAAATGTCAATATTGTTAATAAAATTTATAATTAAAACATTGTTTATGTTTTGTTCATTTTATCTTCTTTTTTTATATATTTTCTTGCCAGTTATTCATCAATTATTCAAAATTTAAAGTATTATCACATTAGATGCTAAATATAATTATATATTAAATGTAGACTGAATACATCTATGGATATTTTTTCTTTATGAAGAATTTTGCATGAGCCTATGTAGAATATTACAAACATTTCTGACTTTTGTATGTAATGCATTCTGAANTAATAGATATATATATATATATATATTTATATTTTAGTTATTGTTATTAGATTAAGTATTGTTGTAATCCTAGTAATTATCATACTAGTGTGTAAGTTGTCGAATCCTTGTGAGATATATAAACATTGTTTTGCATTCCCTAATTTGTATTTTGTACGTTTTTGTTTCTTTTGTATGGCCCTTATACTCCTTACTAACGGTGAGTCCAAGTCTTGTCGATACTTATTCACTACAATCTAAAAAAATAAAATATAATATAAAATTATTTACCATTTTCTGTATCTTTCATAGTTTCAACTTGAAAGTCTTGAAATATATCTTGCCTAAAATGTTTTTCAAGACCATAACTGTAAAACCGAAATAAGCATTCCAGTCCATACCTATAAAAAACATAAGTTAAAAATGAGTGAAACATTTAAGAGAATAGAATATCTTTAAAACACACACTACTTTTTTTTATTAATAAAAAGACAAATTGTATAATTTCAATTCATCTCATTTCATTAAATTTTATAACAAAATATAGAAAAACTTAAAGCTACATCAACTACTGTATAACATCAAAATACATACTGGCAATAATAATTATAAATTACTAATAAATTTGACCCTAGAGGAAGGCGTTAAAGCACCATCTTGTATTAAATTTAATAATTATAATTTAATTAAATAATTTTAGACTAAACTGGAAGAAAAGAATCGACTTGGAGTGGAACTTGAACCCGCAATGCCTGCTTGCTTGCTGTGCAGATGTGTTATCAACTACACTATCTAAACTTCTGGTCTGATCTCCTCTTCCAGTATATTTAACATTATGATATAACCACCATTGGTTTACATGACGAGGGTGCTGAATGCATTCCCAGTCAGCACCGTAATAACCAATGATGATAATAATGTAATTTAAATATACTGGAAGAGATTGGACAGGGGGTCTGGGTAGCATAATTGGCAACACATCCGCATGGCAAGTGGAATTTGAGGGTTAGAGTCCCGCTCCAAGCTGATTCTTTTCTTCCAGTTTAATCTAAAATTATTTAATTAAATTATAATTATTAAATTTAATACAAGATGGCACCTAATGCCTCCCTCTAGAGTCAAATTTATCAGTAATTTATAATTATTATTGCCAATATATAGACTGATGTTATATGGCAGTTGATGTAGCTTTATTGTATAGTATCAAGTTTTGTAAGATGTNAGAGTTCTGTTCTCAGTGAGCTAAAAACATTATGAAATTTCTTATTAGTGCCAGAAAGTTTAATTTTTTTACAGTAAATATATTATTTAAATTAATTATTGGCTTTGTTGTATATGTTGTTACACATTAGTGATTCATTTACATGAATTAAGTCAACTTAGTATCAACATGCAACTCCATTATCTTGTAGTGCTCTGTCACTAAATTGTTCTTTTTGGTTCTTGTAATTATATATTTTGTATATCGGTTTCGTATCAGTTTTTGTTGTCATGATACCTGTTTACTTGTAAAACATTCCGTTTGTTGCATGCCTTCTTCAGCAAACCATTCACTGGCTTGTGATTGATTGTAACAACATCACGTGACTAAGGAGTGAGCCCCAGATGGCAGGGGATATAAAAAGGAGAAGACCACATGTGCAGGCACATTATTTTGGTTTTCATGAGAAGAGTTGTTGAGCAGATACGAGAGGAAGGCTTCGAGAGATCAGGTGAGGAGATCTTGAGTGGAACTGTTAGTGGGGAAAGGAGAAGAGTGTGGCAAGAGACTCTCTCTTTGTTCTTCGAAGCTAAAGAGAAATCCCTTTGCATCAAGAGGAAGATTGTGCCCAAAGTGAAAAAAACTATTTGTTAAGGAAGAAATTCTGAGGAAGGAATTCAGACTTGCAGATAGTTCGTTTTTTTTCTTCATGTTTATTGTACTAGATTCAATGAACATGCCTGTGATCTCAGCATGTACTCGCCTTGTATATATATATATATACAAGGCAAGTACATGCTGAGTACATATATATATATATATATATATATTTATATTTTAGTTATTGTTATTAGGTTAAGTATTGTTGTAATCCTAGTAATTATCATACTAGTGTGTAAATTGTCGAATCCTTGTGAGATATATAAACATTGTTTTGCATTCCCTAATTTGTATTTTGTACGTTTTTGTTTCTTTTGTATGGCCCTTATACTCCTTACTAACGGTGAGTCCAAGTCTTGTCGATACTTATTCACTACAATCTAAAAAAATAAAATATAATATAAAATTATTTACCATTTTCTGTATCTTTCATAGTTTCAACTTGAAAGTCTTGAAATATATCTTGCCTAAAATGTTTTTCAAGACCATAACTGTAAAACCGAAATAAGCATTCCAGTCCATACCTATAAAAAACATAAGTTAAAAATGAGTGAAACATTTAAGAGAATAGAATATCTTTAAAACACACACTACTTTTTTTTATTAATAAAAAGACAAATTGTATAATTTCAATTCATCTCATTTCATTAAATTTTATAACAAAATATAGAAAAACTTAAAGCTACATCAACTACTGTATAACATCAAAATACATACTGGCAATAATAATTATAAATTACTAATAAATTTGACCCTAGAGGAAGGCGTTAAAGCACCATCTTGTATTAAATTTAATAATTATAATTTAATTAAATAATTTTAGACTAAACTGGAAGAAAAGAATCGACTTGGAGTGGAACTTGAACCCGCAATGCCTGCTTGCTTGCTGTGCAGATGTGTTATCAACTACACTATCTAAACTTCTGGTCTGATCTCCTCTTCCAGTATATTTAACATTATGATATAACCACCATTGGTTTACATGACGAGGGTGCTGAATGCATTCCCAGTCAGCACCGTAATAACCAATGATGATAATAATGTAATTTAAATATACTGGAAGAGATTGGACAGGGGGTCTGGGTAGCATAATTGGCAACACATCCACATGGCAAGTGGAATTTGAGGGTTAGAGTCCCGCTCCAAGCTGATTCTTTTCTTCCAGTTTAATCTAAAATTATTTAATTAAATTATAATTATTAAATTTAATACAAGATGGCACCTAATGCCTCCCTCTAGAGTCAAATTTATCAGTAATTTATAATTATTATTGCCAATATATAGACTGATGTTATATGGCAGTTGATGTAGCTTTATTGTATAGTATCAAGTTTTGTAAGATGTTTATATTTGAAAAACCCTTAGTCATTATGCACGATTAAACAATTCCTGTAACTTGTTACATTTTTGTATGTATGTAAAATATACTGTATTATGTACTGTATATGTGAAGAAAAAAAATGAACAATTTCATCAAGAGTTTCTTCCTGAAAACAACAATGCAAGGATAAACTTTGCAGAAATGTTTATGAATCTTGGCAACATGAACCCTACCATTCCCAGACAAATTTGCATAGTGGATGAAGTGATTTTACATTTACAGAGAGGTAAGCCCCAATAATGTGCATTACTGGGCACAGGAAAATCTACATTGCTTGCAAGTGAAGTACAATCAATATCAGTAATGTGTTAACATTTGGGATCAAATTATTTAACCAACGAGTTCTTGGGCAGTTTTTTACTGACACACCCTTAATTCCCTAAAGTTCTTGCAGCTCTAAGTAGAGCATGTTGGACCACTGCTCACAGACGTAATTCTTGTTACTGCCATTTTTATCAACATGATGGAGCCCCTGCCCATTGAGGTCTTCCAGTCAGAGAGTGGTTACATGCCACTTTTCCAGGAATGTGGATTGATCGAGGAGGTCCATTTCCATGGCCCCTTGTTCTCCTGATTTGATGCCATTTGATTTTTTATTGGAGTTACATAAAGAACAGGATTTATCAAACAACAGTTGAAAAAGCCACAGATTTACAACAACACGTAATAGATGTTTCTGCACAGATAATAGCCAACCAGCTTAGGAGAGTTGAGGAAGATTTTGAGTCATCTTCCATATTATCAGATAGCATGGGACATCCATTTTGATGAAACGAGTAAAATATCATTGTCAAAACTTTCATTTTCTTGGAGTTTACAAGAAAACTTTTTCCTTCATATCAACATAGAAGCATGAAATTAACATATAATTTTATTTCCAATGAAATGTTCCAACTTAAAACCTGGTAGTTACTGCTCAGTCAGTACTGTACAGTACATATATGGTAAAAAGGTTGCTATTCCTAAATTTTATGTTAGAGTTTTGCATAATTCTGCTTAACAACATAACAACTGATAGAACACTGCATATTGTGCTTGCTGGGCTACATTCTTACTTTGTCAGGTGTTCCTTTGGTGTGTTATTTTCTTAACATCTGGTATATTAAAACAAAACAAAACTGTGTTACAGTTAAAGCTATTTTTTTTAATGTTCTTCATAATTTATTTCATCAAAAATTTAACTTTACATTTAAAAATTATTGAGAGAGATACTTCTGATGTTTACAGTATTTGTATCTAAACAGATACAAATACTGTTGTTAATGTTATACCGTGTTTCGCACAAATAAAGACACTTTCAGTTTTAATCTAACAACCTTTACTTGTAAGTTATTAAAAAAAAAAGTACAAGGAGACTTAGCTCTGCTTAATGTACACTTCTTGTCTTTTTAACTCTGGTGCCAATTGATCACAGCACCCCTTCAAGTTCTCTCTGGTTTTTGTTTACTCCCAACTAGGGGTTGTATACCGGTTTACCGATTTACCGGTTAACCGATAAATTGACAAAAAAAACATTCGGTAAACTTACCGGTAAATTTTTGAAATTTTCCGGTAATTCTGAAAATGAAAAATTTATACTAAAAATTTTTATGTAGAGAATATTGTGTTGATAGATATTTAAAAGAGCTAAAGGGACATTGAAAAAAAAAAAAAAAAAAAAGGTAAGTGTAAGCAACAATATATCTCATTATTAATTTTATGTGAGATAGTTTTTGTTTAATTTTAATTTAATGACCATTCGTCCAACAAGTGTTGAATCAGAAAGGGTATTCTCGGGATCTGGATTATTTTGTACAAAAATTAGATCAAAATTAGGAGATAAGACTATAAATAATTTAA